GTTGCCCCAATTTACAAGTTTGATAAATTGTCTTTTACTCAAGTTGCCCCAATTTACAAGTTTGATAGATTGTCTTTTATTTAATTGAACTTGATTTTTTTATAATCTATTTTTTTCTCATATAGTTTAAAAAAATATTTTTTGAGAGAAGTTATATCATCAAACTTTATAAGGTAACAAAAATTAAAGGGTGTGAAAAAATCATTGTTCACTAGCATACATTGCACTGTGAATGACAATTCTAATCCATAATATTTTGCTTTCTTTTTTTTTCTTTTTTTTTTTTTAATTTTAGTTATGTTTTTTTAAAAAATTTATTTTTATTGATTTTATTTTTTAATATGGGGATGGTTAGGAATTTGATTTCATAATTATTTTCTTTTTATAAAGTTAGCATAGCTTGCAAATTTGCTAGAGTAACCCGAGTTTCCTAACTTACAAGTTTGATGGGGTGTTTTTTTTTTTAAAAAAAATTAAACTTGACTTTTCTTATCATATTTTTTTTTCTTATATAGTTAAAAAAAATAATTTTAGATAAAAGTTATGTTATCAAACTTTATAAAGTTTATGAACCTATTTACAAGTTTAGTTGGTTAAATTGGTTTGTGGATCTAACAAGTTTAACTTCTTTTTTTAATTAGTTTTTTTATTTCATTATTAGATAATGGGTTAATTATAAATTTAATTTCATAATTGGTTTCGTTTTACTTTTTATGAGATTATCACAATTTAAGAATAACACCTTGACATTGGGTTGATATTTGATTTCGTTATCGTCTATTTTTGTTATCATATAGTTAAATAAAAATTATTTTGAAAAAAAATTATAATCCTAGTAGGGTCTATAATCAAATTCTCAAGTTAGGCGTACTAGCCTGATTTACCCGATAAACAGGTTTGATGAGTTTACTCACTGATAGGATATGCTTTTTTTATCTTTTAATTGTTTTTAATTTATTTTTGTTCGATTTCATCCTTTAATATTGAATTAGTTGGAAAATAGACTACATTATTGATTTTTGTTTGTTTTCTACTAGGATAATTGTCTTAAATAAGTATTTAATGTAGGTTGGTGCTTAATTTTGTGAGCATATATTTTTATCATATAATTAAATAAAAAAATTTATAAAAAAAGTTATTGAATCTAAATGAGTTTATGACCTGGATCGTAGAGGGATAAATGTTGATTCAATCTGTCAGTTTATGACCTGGATCGTAGAGGGATAAAGGTTGATTCAATCTGTCATTATCTCAACATTTTTTTTAAAAAATATCATCTTGAAGTTTTTTTAAAAGTTAAGTTGTGTTTCTTCTCAATCATCAAGGTTGCATTTGGACCTATGAAATTGATCATTTAAGTCAGCTAGCTTCCACACAGTTTAATTGAAAAATTGGGTTAGGTGGAGAACTTAATCCACTTGGTCAAGTTTGATAACATTGTTAAAAACTTCTCCATGCTGTTAATACATGCACACACACACACACATTTTAAAAAAAATGGTCCAACCCATAGTGGTGCGCGAGATAAAAAAAAAACATTTCTTTACGAGGTGGCTGAATAAGATTTGTAATAATTTGAGTTAGCCATTTAATTTGCCTCTTCAAGATATTTCAACTCTGGTAGCTTTATAAGATTTGTTTTTAGCAAGTCATTTAGCGTCTTAGATATGTCTAAGTGAAGGAGCATATAATCTTTTTCCTATTGTTTTTTTTAAAGAATGACTTCTTTCTTTCACCCTTTTGAAAAACAATTGGTGTTGCACAATCATTCCGTTTAGCATTTATTGGTACCTTAATGGCATCAAAGTTAATTAATTAATATTGTTTTCCATTGATCTTTGAAGTGTTCTTTCTAAATCTACAACCTTCATAATGTTTTTCATAATATTTTTCTTAGGCTCTTGTATAAATAATGACGAGTTTCCAACTACAGCAATGTTATGTTCCATATCATATACTTGAGTAGTCATTTCTTAAAAAGATTTAGGTTTAATGTAATCCCTAATTCATCTCTCATGTACACATATCTAGCATGGAAGTTTCAACAACTCGATCCTTACAATTGAGGTTAAGGTTTTCCCATCAATGAATATAATCGATGATAAGCCTTTTTGTTTATTGATGTACATTGGTGAGTTTAATTATACTGATGACGTGACAAGAGTTGTAGAAACGATTAAAAAACTCATATTTTAATTGCTCTCAACTATTGATTAAGCTAGACTCCTAGTTAGTGCACCAGTTGAAGGCATTGCCATTTAAGGAAAGAATAAATTTTTTTATCATAAAATCATTATCAAGCACTTTGCAAATCTCTATAAAATGAGCCACATGTTGCCTTAAATTCTCTTTGCCATTGAATTATTAAAACTTTAATGGTTGATAGCTCAAAAACATTCCTAACAAGTTAGTTATTTGAATGTATGGCTTTGTATAAGAATATGAAGGTTGACCTAAACTTACACTTGATCTATGATAGCCTCTTTGATAAGCTCTTTTTATTGATTCATGGTAAAGATTTCATAAGTAATATTGTGGATATTCCTTATAGCTTCGATTGTAGAATCTTCAATAATATCTAATTAATCTCTTTGTAGATATTCCTTATAGCTTCGATTGTAGAATCCTCAATAATATCTAATTGATCTCTTTGTATAGCCTTGGTAGTTGAAGCTTGTCTAGCCTTGGTAGATAAAATTTAGCCTCCCTCATTCATGCTCTCTAGTTTGTTCATCAATTTTGTTATCTTATGGTCTTTTATATTAATTGAAGTCAAAAGCCTTTCAATAAGTTTTGTCAAGCTAGTCATTGATCCTTCGTAGATGTAGTCCTAATCATCATCATTGACATGATGACAAAACCCAAAGCCTTAGTGATTGACATGGAGAAGTTTATATAGGTGATTTGTCAAAGTAGTCATCTTGAGTGCTGAAGAAAAGTTCATATGTCCCATTTGATTTTTATGGTAGGGTTACTTGTATTTTCAACCTTGGATTAATAAGCCCTATACCTATTTACATTCGATGTTGACATTAACTTTAGAATCAACTTTGTTTGCGCATAAATTATGTATTGATCAATTTAGAAAAATAATCATAACATGAATATTCAGAGCATTTATCAAAGCACCAAAGCACATTATTTTTGAAAAACAAACAAACTAAGCTTAGCTCTAGAGGTTCCAAGTGGAGTCCTCATTTTGTTATAAGGGACTTCTCGATAAAAATTTTATGAAAATGGAAGAAAAAAATAAGTTATTACCTAGTTTTATAATAACTAAGAACCCTAACTTTTCTTTAGAGTTTTCTAGTTTCTAAGAAAAAGATTTGAGACTCAAGCTTGGCAACAAGACTTAACCCCCACCTTTGAGTATAGATGTTAGATTCGAGAAGATAATTATGACTTTGACCCAATTTTTTGTGTTATATCCAAAATAAACTTGAAAACCTCCACTTACACACCACAAGTCTACATGAGATTGTGTGATCTAACCTAAATTTGTTATCAACACAAAACACTATTCATCCATATTCAGTAAGAACATAAAATTGCTTGCCTTTAATGTAACTTCCAAAAAATACCAAATTAAAATTTATGATCTCAGAGCTAGTTTTGAGTTACGAGAAAAATACAAATATATTTCAAATTAAATGAAAGTCAAAATACAAAGACAAATCAATATTCACCTACACTACTTGTCTACCTTTAACATGGCATTTGAGGAAAACCCTTATTATGATTTATGATTTATAATTTCTAATTTTAAGTTATGATAGGGTTTTAACCATATAAATTAATAAAAAAATAATATTCACATACAAAATCAACTAGTTCAACTTTAATGCGACATTTAAAGAAAAATGTAATTAAAACCTATAATTCTTAAGTCGATTTTAAGTTACAATAAAAAATAAAAATCTACAAGAAAAGCAATATGCAAATATATATATATATATATTATTGTGTTTTATTCAATGAACTACAGTGCTAATGAAAGAAAACTATTTTGTTATCAAAACAAGAAAAATACATAAATTATAAAAGATAATTTCCATTAAAAATATAATTCTTCTTCATAATTTTATTCATTGTTCTTCTTGCCAATATTTATTTTTATTATTGTATGACTAAATAAAAAATAAATTTTAAAAAGCAAAAATTTTAAACCCAACAATGCCTATAAGTTGGGCAACTAACCTGTTTTGACCCAAGTTAATAAAAAATATGGTTACTTCAATGTTTTTCTTATATAATAATAAAAAAAATTGACATTGTTTTTAAATTTTATTTTTAAAAAAATCAAATTAAATTTTAACTAAATTTACCAAGCAATGAGTACATTTGCCAAGTCAACTACGCCATACCAAGTTAGTTTACATGCAATTCACTTTGAAACTTATTCCTGGCCAGAGCCCAAGTCAGCAGGTCATTATGTTGGCTTACTGAACCGAGTTAGGTATAATAACACTACCCCACGAGCAACTAAACAGTAGTTCTCTAACCAACCCTCTGGTCGATGTTGGCAGCTGCGAAGGTATACGAGGGAGGATTGAATACCTTCGGATTGCTGGCTGGAGGATTCACAAGATAGTGATTTCCCAGCTACTGAAGGGTCGGAAAAATTGTAGCATGCAACCATAGGTGGCGTCTCCCATTTCTTCCTTCAATTGCTCATCCTCTTGCATGCTGTAGGCAAGAATGATTGATTGGAAAATGATTTGATACGCTCACAGAATCTGCAAACGTTTTAGGCAATATTTTTGTGCCCATGTTGGCTAGCAAGCCCAAACATTTCCAAGCATATCGTGACGCAGCTAGCATCTAATGCTAGCTACAGAAAAGCATGTTAAACAAATACATTCGGCAATGTATACCAAATCCCAACTGCCAAAACAGTCGCAAATGGCAGGTAAGAATTAAGCAAGCTAGTCGAAAGATGGGGTGAAAGGCACATATGCTTACATGCTTAAAAAATCAACATTCAAAGATCAAACAAGATCTAAGAACCTAAAAAATAAAAGGTTACTTTAAAGCAAGAAACAGTAATCTTACAAAGAAACGGACATTTATTAGACTGCTTTCTCTGTGGTGTTCCTAGTATGGGATTAAAAAAGATTACAGAACAATGGAGAGATCCTCACTTAGCAAATAATATTATACACAAGTAGCCAAGTGCTTGTAGGCTAATTTTGAATGACTTGAAACCAGCTGCATCAGAAAAGATTCCTGCAGAAATACAATCAGCAAAGTCAGCTCAGCTCTCCACTGTCTTCATAGCTGAAAATAATTTCAGCATCGATTGCTAAAACCTTTAGAAAGAACTTACAAAATTTGGGAAAACAGTACAAACAGTAGAACAGGCAAGGTGGTATTGAAAGACACAACTATGTAGAGATGGCGAATGTCAGAGATGACAAACTACATTACAACTAGGAAAAATCAGCAGTTGCTACATGTTCCTCAAGCATGTACAAATACTATCAGGAACAAGACCAACATTTGAGATCTATCAAGCCTCAAATAATCACAAGCTCTTACAGTACATAAAAGTCAGGTATTTCTCGACTGAAAGAGACAACGAGGGTGAGAATTTACTGATTCCTTGAGAGTAGCACTTGCAAATCAGCATCTAGCATTTCTAATCTAAATTTAAAGATTATGCGAAAGCAATCCTATGAGATTCCTCGGGTCTTGCCTCATGCTAAGGAATTCATGATGAGATAGAACCCTGTTAATTATTCATCTAATTGTTGATATCCAGCCGTTTCCTTGTCAAACTCTTTAAACTGCTGAATCATTGGCATCTAAACTATGACAAACGTAAACTACACATCCTGCAACAGCCATTCTCAATAGTTCTTTTTTGTGTTCATGTTCATATTTATGGCCTTAAAGCAGTTCCAAATTGAGCATGGCCACAATTCCAGGGCCAATAATAGGTCACTGGGTCAGCAAAATAAGTAATGAACTAATTTAGCTTTCTCAAAACTGACAAGAGAAAACAATTTTAAAAGAAAACAGCAACATGTCCAGAAACATAAATGGTTGAGCATTTATTTGAGATAGTTTTGACAAGATTCAACAGAGTTCACATATATTTTTGTTAAAGCAAAGTTCACGTAACCAAAAACCAACAATCTTAATAAAAAAAATTACTACTACCAAGCACCAGGATCTTTGAACCTCACCTTGAGGCGCCCCAAGAAACCATCGAAATCCCACCTCCTAATCCGACCGACTAGAAAACCTCTCCACCTTCTTATCATTCAAATTAAGGCCAACCATAGCCTCACCAAGCCCACAACTCACCTCCGCCAGCACCTCAGGATCACTGTAATGCGTTACAGCCTGCACAATAGCTCGCCCCCTCTTAACAGGATCCCCACTCTTAAAAACCCCAGACCCAACAAACACACCGTCACATCCCAACTGCATCATCAACGCTGCATCAGCAGGGGTAGCCACCCCCCCTGCTGCAAATTGCACAACAGGCAACCTCCCAAGTTGCTTTGTCTGCATAACCAAATCATAAGGAGCAGCAATTTTCTTGGCAAAGGTAAACACCTCATCATCATCCATGTTTCTCAATACCCTTATATCCCCCATCACAGACCTCACATGCCTAACAGCTTCAATGACATTCCCCGTACCCGCCTCTCCTTTAGTCCTTATCATTGCTGCACCTTCCCTTATCCTCCTCAAGGCCTCACCCAAATTTCGGCATCCGCAAACAAAAGGGATGCGGAAATTATGCTTGTTAATGTGATTTTCTTCATCAGCAGGTGTAAGAACCTCGGATTCGTCGATATAGTCGATGCCAATGGCTTCAAGAATTTGGGCCTCGACGAAATGCCCGATTCGCGCTTTCGCCATGACAGGGATTGTCACTGCCTGTTTTATTTCTTTGATGAGCTGTGGGTCGCTCATGCGTGCCACACCGCCTTGTGCACGGATGTCGGCGGGGACTCGTTCTAGTGCCATGACAGCACAGGCGCCGGCTTCTTCGGCAATTCGGGCTTGTTCAGGGGTGACAACGTCCATTATGACCCCGCCTCTTAGCATTTGGGCTAGACCTACCTTCACGGAGAATGGGGAATTTTTGGTTTCTGTTATTGCTCCGTTTCCATAGACTGCCACAACTCCGGTTCCTGCCATTCTCTTAGAGAGAGTGAGTAGAGTTTTTTGGTTTCTGTTATTGCTCCGTTTCCATAGACTGCCACAACTCCGCTGCCACAACTCCGCTTAGAGAGAGTGAGTAGAGAGAGAGAGTGAGAGAGATTGGTTTGGGTTGTTTGAGAGAGAGAGAGAGACGAGCGGAGGTGGTGGTGTTTAAGTAGTGAGTGGCGAGGATGTTGAATGGCTCTTATTTATTGGGCAAACTTCGTCTTTAGTCCTGTAATTATCAAGAAATGTTTAATTTGATTTCTAAAGTCTTTTCTTAATTGGATGTTTACACGTTACTCTCAAAATAAATTCTTTTTGAATTGTTTTCAAGTACATCATAGGCTCAAGTAGTTAGGTAATTGTGTTTTGGGTTAACTTATACGTCATTGGTTTAATTTATGTCGAGTTTTTTTAATTAAAATAATATTATTTATTTATTTTATGTTTTGATGTTGATTTCATCGAGTTTAAATTAAATTTTATTAGCTTAATTAAATCATTAAAAACCATTTGAATTAACTAAATTTTATTAAGTTGACATCAAATCTAGCTCAATTAAAAATCCAACTCAGGTCAGAATTCAAATCTTGAATTTTTCAAGTCAATTTATTAAATTAGATCAAGTATAAATACTATAATTCAAATAACAAGAATGAATTATAAAAACAAGTAGTAAAAAATCCATTCATTTCGTAAAATGGTTTTGATAGAGGAATTTGTGAAATTATAAGGATTCAATTGAGAAATGTTTTCTTCAAATAGTAACTGAGAATGGATTGATAGTTGGGGGGGTTAATTTGAGTGGCCTTACTAATTCTTACTGGTTAAGAAAAGAAGTCGTGTTTGATGATGGTGAGATTTTGATTTCACGGTCAAGAAGGGTTTATAGGCGTGGAGGCCACGTTTTTTTGGTGTGGCCAAACTCAGTTTAGGAGATTTTCTAGTTACGGCTTACGTGGGGAATCATGGTTCTGTTGTTCATACAGACTGGAACTTTCGCTGTCTAAATTTAAAATAAATAAATTATTTTTTAATATTTTATAATATAATAAAAAATAAATTAAAAAATATTTTTCAGTATTTGATTATACTAAATCATTTCAAATAAAATAAGTAACAATATATTTTATAGATAAACAATTTTAATAAAAAAATAATAATTATAAAAATGAGGATCAAAATTAATATAAAAATTAAATTTTAAGAGATGAAATTAAATAATAAATATTCAAAATAAAATATATATAGCAATAAAAAATTTGAGGACCAAATTTGATATAATCAGCAAATAATATGATATTTCAAAATTTTTCACAACTTTCAGAAAGTATTTTCCGCTCAAATTTTTCAAGAAAATATTTTTCTGGAAACCAACTTAAATTTTTTTGACTGAAAAGTATTTTCTATTAACTAACTTTTCTAATTACAAATAAATACAGAAACATTTAGAAAATGGTTTTCTGGAAACTACTTTTTAGAAAACAAACATGACCTTATATTCATGTCAGATTTTCATTTTTATTTTCATTTTAAAAATAATAATTTATATCCCATTTATTTTTATATTTTAAAAAACAAAATTAAAATTCTTTTTTACTATAATTTTTTTTTACTTTAGTTTTTTGTTTTGTTTTTATATTATTTTGATGTACTAATGTTAAAATTAATTTTTTTAAAATATTATTTTAATATATTTAAAAAAAATATTTAAAAAAACTATTATTACATTTTAAAATATCCCTTTAATAGTTAGAGCATAAGACAAGAATAAGATATATATATATATATATATATATATATATATATATAGAAAAATTATAGATATTGCTAACATGTTTTTTAGTATATTTTTTTATGAAATTCAACAAAATTAAATGGATAAAAAAAATTAAATAAAAAATTATTATTAAAATTCACAGTTAGTTTACATGTGCTCTGTCGTGGATTAGATCAAAAATCAATTTCTTGTTGGGTTGAGCTCTTTTTGCTTGATTTTAAAATTAAATCAATGACCTGATTATAGCAAAAACCCTGGATGTTAATTTAGAACTTAAGAACTCTATAGAGCAACATACCTTTACGACTTCACTACAACAATTGTTTTGATACAAGCACATATTAAGAATATATTATACAGTTTGATAGAAGGTGAAAAAAAAAAAAAAACTAGAGTGGTGCTTAAATGTTCATCCATATGAACAGCTAAAATGAACAGTTAAGCACTATAAGCTTTCCTAAGTGTTTTAGATGTATTAGGTAATGATATAAATAGCATAAATTTATTAAAATATGATGTTGGCTTGATAGTAAAAGGGTGTGTGTGTGTAAGGTAATTTTATTCTTGTACATAAATGGAAATTGTTTCTTTTTTATGTTTTTTTAATTTGAAGGTAATATTACTCTTGTACATAAATAGAAATAATATTTATTTCTAATATTCTATTTTGTTAAAAAACTTGTTTTATAAAATAAAAAATTATTTTATACTTATTATTTATAATTTAAAAAATTTAAGAATAAAGATATATGAAGGAAGAGATTTTATACAGATTTTATTTAATTGAAGAAACATAAAAATATATTATTAATTAAAATATAAAATTAATAAAATTACATATTTAATTGTGATAGTGAATTTATGGCATTGTAATTGTAGCATGGTAGTTGTGGAAAAGGTAATGGTAATGATATAGTAATGGTTGATATGATATTACTATTATGCTAATATTTATAACAATAAAAAATTAAAACTTATTGTTATTTTATTAATAAATAATTATAATTATAATAAGGGATGATGATATGAAAAAGGTAACCATAATAGAATGATAAAGGAAAAAATTAAAAATATTTGTAAATGTATAAAGTTAATGATATTACTGATGAAGTTAGTGAATATAAAATAGAAGGTAATGATGAAGGAGTAAATATGAATGTAATAGTTATGATACTAATGATAATAATGATGATATTATGAAAATATTAGTGATGATCTTAATTATTGTATTAGAATGATATTAATGATTGAGTGGTGATTATAATGATTGTATAATATTTTATAAAAAAATAAAAATAAATTAAAACCACTATTTATTGTTTTCTTTAATTCCTTTTTAAATTATTAAAAAATAAATAAATGTAATAATTCAAAGAAACATATTTTCTTATACACACACCAAACACATATAATCTAACATATACTTGTAAAAAAAATAAAGAAGATAAAAAAGTGATAGGTTTTTAGAATTCTGTTGATTGGAATTCGGTACGCTAAAGTATCAAAACAAACCCTTGCTTGGACCAAAATGTGTTCTTTAATCAATACTCTCTAATGAAGAATGGGGGACTTTATGAAGATTCTGGCCAAACAAAAGTCATGCGAGCTGGAGGATGATAGGCCTAAAAGAATGGAGATAATTAGGGCATTACACTAAATAATTTAGGTTTGAATTTTATTTTAAAATATATATTATTAGTTTTGTAAGATTAAATATATTTTTCAAACCATATATTAGATCAAGTTAAAATTTTAAAAATAAACACTAGACACATGAAAATATATTTTTATAAAAATTCAAATCAATTAAAATTTAAAAATATATTATTTAAATTAATTGAAATCATTGTTATTATTTTGACAAATCCATCGGTAAAATGTTTTTTTCATTTTTATTTTTAACTCAATCAGTCTATAGTTATAATAGATTAATACAACAATGAGAGATTGAATAAGGCTTATTTATACCTTAAACTTGTTCATGAATTTGGACTACAAGAATTCCTAGTATGACTTAGATTCATTGAAGAATTGGAGTCCACACCTTATTAGGATTCCAAGTCCCACGCGGACTTGATGCGGCGACATCTATGCAGATTTTTCTCTTGAGTTTCCTTTACTTATTTTGATGGTATTCCTTGCACATAAAACAAACTAAGAGGAGACAATATAAAAAAAGAAATTCTAGTAATCAAGACAAAGTTAGTTAAATCTATACATTAAAAGTTTCGATCAAAAAACCACTTAGAAAAGCTTAAAGATTTTACCTACATGGTGGAATTCTAGCATCAAGAATTTGTTTTTAGTATCTTATTGGAATTCTAGCATCAAGAATTTGTTTTTAATATCTTATTTTATTTACTTTATATTGAATAATTATTTTTAATTTGAATTTATTATGACCTATTAGATATTGTATATGGTTTTATTTTATTATTAAATTTATATTAGTTGATTTCTAATTTAGGTTTGTTGGCTTGCAACTCAAAATAGGTCTATTAAAATTATTTAAAGAGGACTATATATTACTTCTATAGTAGCAAGTTTTAGCAATTATAATATTTTAAATAAATATGATTTTTCATTTGTGTTTGCATGTCGTAAATAATTTTTGTCAAAAAAAAAATAATACATTGTCTTATCGATGATTAATTAGCTTCATGGTATCATTTACAAATTTCAAGTTCTTATATACATGACGATCTATGTGTTTAAGTTTTTTTTTAATATTTTTAGTTCTTAAATATAGAGTTACCTCTAGATTAAAGTTTCAAATTTGATATCCAGCTTTCTTGGATTAATTTTAAATTTTATTGTGGGTTGCATGATTATATGATCATGAAATTTGTATAAAAACGGGTGTAGAATAATAATAAATAAGCTAAATGTAAAGTAAAAAAAGAGAAAGATAATTTATTATTACTATTATTTTTGCAAAAATATCACAAAATAATGAGTAAATGAAGTTAAGAATAAAAAGAGTAGTGATGAATAAGATAAGTATAGAGTAATAAATAGATCAATTAAGAATAAAAAGAGTAGTGATGAATAAGGTGTAAAGCAAAAGGAAAGGATCTTTTTTGATAAAAAAAGGTGTAAAGCAAGAGAAAAATAAATGAATGAGGATAATAACAGAAAGAGAGGTGATAAATATGTCAAGTGTATAAAGTTGTAAATAGACAAAGTGTAAAGTTAAAAAGAAAGAAAAAACGTATAAAGATAAAAAAAGAGGGAAAAAATATAAAATACAAAACAATAAATGAATGTAAAAAAAGAAAAAGGAATGGTAATAAATAGACCAAGTGTAGAAAAAATTAATCTTTAAATTTATTTAAAAAAAGTTGCTAGAAATTGTAGATTTATTATTGCTATGTAGTGATAGATAGATGAAGTATAGAGTGAGCGATAAATAAATAAAAATATAAAGTAAAAAATAATAATGAATGAGTAAAGATTAAGTTGTTATTACAGATTTGCTATTGATGCTATAGTGAAAAAATGGGAAAATTTTACAAAATCGCCGTAGCTATTATAGTATCCACAGTGATAGTTAGCCGTGGAATCTAGGGTCTTAATGCATCTCGTTTCCCCCTGTTTTGACGTTGTGGACAGTCAGGGCCGCTATTTTATTCAATGGATGGACCAAATAAAATAAAATATTTATGGGGAAAAAAAGAGGTGATAAGGTCGTATTCAAGTGGCTGGGATGAAGGGGAGGAAGGCTGCCTCTCGCTCCCAATCTTCAAATGAAAGGCGTCCATGACGGTCGTTTACTCTCTGTCGCTTTCAACATGAAAGAGCAAGCAAATCTTTGTTTTTCTTTCCTTTTTCATTTTCAGTGTAAAAGACTACAAGGAATATAATTTAAAATTATTTTTAAAGTATTTTTTATTTAAAAAATATTAAAATAATATATTATTTATTTTTTAATACCATGTTATATCAATAAAAAAAAGTGTAATAAAAAATAATTTAATAAAAAGTAAAAATTCTAATTTTTTTATGAAGTGTTGTTGGACCTTATAAATATTTTCTTTGTCGATTTTTTAAATTTAAATATTAGAGTTAAATATATTAAATAAATATATTAATATTTTTTTATTAAATTAAATTGATGTAAAAAGGTATGATTTTGAAATCATTCCAACAAAATATTAATCTCAATTAACTTGTAAACTAATTTAAAAAATTTCCTTATTATCAAATAATTTAGACATTTCTAAGAAATGCTCTAACACTATCTTCTTCTTTTTTTTACCATAATTGTAACAACCATGCATATAATTAGGAGGTGTTGGAAGAATCATGTTTAGTGTTGCAGAGCGGGACTGTACTAGCGTGGATAGATCTGCTACAAAATTGCAAGAAGGGTGTGTTTGATATTCTCTTAATTTTTTTTTGGTTTGCTTTAAAAAAATAAATTTTTTAATTTTTTTTAATTATGAATGTGTTTGATATTCTCTTAATTTTTTTTTGTTTGCTTTAAAAAAATAATTTTTTTTAATTATAATTATAAAAAAATTAATTAAAATTATTATGAGATAAGTTTTTACATATAAAATAAATAAAAAATAAATCTCCATAAATTAAAAAAATAATTAATTTTAGTTTATACAAAACTAAACTTTGAGATGTAGTGTGAGATTCAGTGCAAAAAAACAGAAGTTATTTAGCCAACTAATCAAAGTTTTTCTTTATAATTAAGAAAAAACATAAGCTATTGCACTAACTTCAAATTTATGATATTGTCTTTTTTTTGTCATGAGACAAAACCACACATACATGCTGCAAGCTAATAAGCATTCCCAGCAGGCAGTCAAGCAATATATAATGTTAACATGAGCAATAATTTTCAGTCTCTTATCTCACTAGCTTCACTAGGTATGAAAAGATTATGTTGATATATTTTGTCCCTAAAATAGTAAATTAACCTAATAAAAATAAAATCATCCTGTTGATCAGCTCCTTTGGTTGCAACAAAAACATGCAACCAAAAACATGCATTAAAATTGTATTTGATATTACAGTAACTATTGTAGTTGCGGTTTGAAAAAAAATATTTTATAAAAAATTATTTTTAGTTAAGATTGATTTTAAAAAATAGATATTTGATTAAAACTGTAATTACAATTGAAATTAAAAAAAATAATTTAATATATTTGATTAAAAATGCTTTTAAAATTGAAGTTATAAAATAATTTAAAAATATATATGTTAATATTGATGATTTTAAATTTAATATTGTAGAATTAACTACTTAAATGGTGGGACCCATGTATTTTGATTATTTAATAACCTGTAACCAAATAACTATTTCATATGTTTTTAAAGAAACGTGAACATTAACGCGTAGCCAATCGGGCTCTAACTCTTTACCATATAACGAAGCTCTACGAAGCTCACAGAGACCAAATATGAAAAAAGACAGTATAACCTGTTGCATTAAGCCTTTGAATAGTAATGGGTCCTAGGTATATGAATTCTACGCTTATACAAAAAGATAGTATTACATGGTGGAAAGCCAGAAAAAAAACATGAGGCAGGGTCTTCCACTTTAAAGATCAAGATCATACAACTGCATCTCTCCATCAATGATTTGAATCTACCGCTATACAGTCAAATAGTATCTCATGGGCATGAAAGCAATGGTTTAGATGCAACTAATCTATGTTGCAAGTTATTACAGGATATGCGAGTGTTTCGAACTACTTCATGTTGCTTAAACTGTAAAAATCTTCCTCACCTTCCTCATATTCCGACGACATATAGGGCAAGTACCATCAGCTTCTGCTATCCTGCAAATATTAAATTTCAACATATAAATTGGCATCCGATTGGTCAAGTTGGTTACTGTGGAAGAAAAATAATAGGCTTGCACTGGCAAATACAATCAGGATAGCAGCGACCAAATTTTCTTCATACCATGTCTGACAGGTAATGCAACCCAAAAGAGTAAAGTCAGAAGTAGGAATATGCTGAATAACACCAGAAATTTACATTTTTATTAATTACCGATGATATTTGAAAAGACTAAAATCATCCGACTCTTGTTATGTGCAATTTCCATTATGCCAGACTTCCTCAATATGGCAGGCTATCAACTTCAACTAGAAATCATGATAGTCCACAAAGTTCCACACAACAAAACCATGCCATGATCGACTTGTTCCTAAAAGGTCATGCCTATTAAATGGTTTCAGGTCGTGATCATGGCTAAACAAAGGATGCAGCCATCTAGCTTCCATTAAAACAATAGTCCAGTAATTAAAAGATAACTTAAAGTGCTTCCATAGACAAGCTAAACCACTGAAATGGTATCTCAGTCTCTCTTAGCCTCATTAACCTTACAGAGAAGGTTTTGATTATTGAGTATACCATGACATCGTGTGAAACTTTTAGAGTACTAATATGTTACAGCTCATCAAGTAATGGGTTATCTTGGCCACTACCACAGTAGCCAGTAACACTCCGACTGCAATTTAAAAAAATGATATTACACAATGCAAAAGGGGCAGGGACTTGTTGCATTGTAAATACTCTGTAAACATGAGCATATTATATTGCTTTCTTCAGTTCGATATGCCATCTACATGCCAAGTGCCAATGAAGTCTAAAACACATTCTAGGGTTAGGCAGGGCATGCCCTCACAGAATGAGGGAAGCATTGATGCATTCATCAGCCTCTGTTTGCCCACCTGAGTTCATCACAAGGTCCAGCACAGTGCTGTTTCAAGATAAGAAAAAAATAATCTAAAGGTGCAAGTGGAGAGTAATTACCTAGTTCCACATGCAAAACAAGCAACACAGTGCCCGCATGGGAGGAAGAAACAGTCCCTAGGAGCATCAAAACAGATTGCACAAAGACGGCGGGTATTATTGCCATTTTCACCATCTCTTGATTTCCCTTCAAGTGAACTCGCTGCAAGAAGATCTTCAAGATCCTCTTCATCATTTGAGGCAGAATCATAAGACGAGCCCCAACTTGCAAGGTCATCATCTTTACGTGAAAGCAAGGGAGCTCTCCCAGGTTCCACCACTCCAAACTGAAGTCTAGTTCCATCTTCATGACCACATTGAAACTTGTTCAAGAAGTTGAAAGCCGCCATCATGATAACAGTCATTCCACCTACAGGCAGAAAAACAAGTAAACATAAGATATCCACAAGTCGAAGTAAAAAGAAGAAACAGATGAGCATACCTATGCCAAGAATATATGTGGCCCATCTTGGCCCATAGGAGACTTTGACATTCCACTCTTCACTGTATGAACCCTGGGAAAAAAAGAAAAGGCAAAAAAAAAAAACAGGGATAATAAAGGTTGAGAATCTTCTGTTCTAAAGACTATTTGATGATGATCCTTTCTCCAGTAGTCCTAATGAGTCTACTATCACAATACCGTAAGATTACCAATCAGCTGGCTTTCAAAGATATGGAATCAACAGAGTAACATTTACAGGTACTTTTAAAAAATCTTCTTTCCTCTTCCATTCAACATAGTTCTTAAGTTCATATGATGACCTTATATTTAAACAGAGGAGTGAGAACGAGGATCTAGAGCTTTACCTCTTCTGGACCAAGAGAGTTTAAGACAACAGCATTTCCATTGGGAAACAATACGCTCAAACTACACTTGCTATCAGTAAAAGTACACTTGTAGTAAGCTTCAGTGGTATTGTACATGAAAGATCTTACTCTCAGGGTTAATTGGACCTGTTTAAGAAAAGACACAAAAGTAAATAGCACAAACAGCCATCCAGGAAGGACACAGGAACACTTCAAAATCAACACAAGCTAAAAACAAGATTGTGAAGTAACAAGATGAACACAAAGATATTTCACTCCTATTATATTGCACATACAGGAAATTGGACCAAATGTTTTTTGAGATTTGAATATATATCTTAAGAATGTTCCGGGTCTATGGAGAAACTGCATTAACGCACCTTGAACATAAAACAAGCATGGATTGAAATCTAAAATAAATAACGAACATAAAAAAAATAAAATCAAATGATCTTCATCTATCATCACCGTATCAACTCTAGAAATTAGGATAATGTAACAAGTGACTTGTGGTTTCAGCTTGTTCGCATAATGGTCCCTCAGTCTCAGATTATTGTTTATTTTCACTAGAGTCGTGTGGTTTGCTCCACTAGCAGAAGCTTAACACCATTAGCTGGTCGATAATGTGGCATGAAAGAGTTGTTAGTTTAGTAAGACAAGTTTTTGGCATGCTGTTGCCAAACTAAAGGAACAAAGAAAACCACTTGTAAGAAAAGAAAAAAAAACCTGTCAATAAACTGCCAATGGCTAAAACCACAAACTATTTTTCATGAATAAGAATATGAATGCGCTCCAATATTTCAACGTAGAAAGATTGTAGACAGACAGCATAAAATAGAACAGGAAAATTGTATTGGTGGAAGATATAACCCATACTCCAAACTAAGGAACAAAGAAAACCACTTGTAGGAAAAGAAAAGAAGAAAAAATTGTCACTAAGTGCCAATGACCAAAACCAAAAACTACTTTTCATGTTTTGCGAAAAAAAGTTAGTCCTTTCATTGAGTTTCAACTTAGGTTGAGAAGTATAAGAATATGAATGCACTCCAATCTTTCCATGTTGAAAGATTGTAGACAGGCAGCATAAAATAGAACAGGAAAATTGTATTGGTGGAAGATATAACCCATGCTGGAAAAATAAAGGTAAATTCAGGAAGAACAAAGTATCCAGTTGCCTAGATCATCTCAAAGCAGCATCTTGTCAAGCGATGCAAAACAATTGCAAAGAAAAATAAGCTACTCTTTCACTGTTTGTGGTATAATTCATGTATCAAAAGGTAAAATTAGCTAAATACAGATCATGTAGATTCTCATATTCTTTTGTTAGCGAATCAAATGAAAAATCTATATGGTTTAAGCACCAGCTGCACAAGAAAATTTTCATATTCTGTACTTATTAGCCAAGGTAGAAATATCACAATGATAAGGTGTATGAGGTTATCTACGTGTTGTTCAATGGAAAATATTTCAGCAACTCTAACACATGAAACAACAAGAGGCGCGCGGTCCTAAAATTTAGTTCATGTCTTTTTGTTCATCAATGATACTAAATATCATGTCTAGGAAGCCAAAGAACTACACTAACAAAGGACGTTCTATCTGTGGTTGGTAATAGAAGCAATAAGATATTCTTGGATTATATCTTTATTAATTGCTAGTAAAACATTCCTAGAACAGGAGATCAATTGATGATACAAATACAGGTCGCTACTCAACAAACTTACCTCAACTTCCTCTGAGTTCAAGTTACCCACTGCAACATAGTAGCTTGCAGATGTGAATATACTCTGCTGGACAAAACCACTTCCTGTGAGAAAAAAATAAAATGCATATCAGTTAATGTATTTGTATGAAGAAAACATCAAAATCTCAACACCTATCTACCTTGAATGACATTCCATGATAAAGTGGTGTTTGGACGAGTTGGATTCTCAAGCCATTGAGAAAGGCTTTCACTCCCTGCAATTTTTCCAGATCCAGAATCACATGGAAATAAAACTCAAAAACCAATTTTATAGCCAACAGCAAGATAACTAATTCTCAATTCATGGACTTACTAGATTAATTCATGGACTTACTAGATTTACGTACCTAGAAGCAAGCATATATGACTTCCAGAAAAAACATGAAACATATAAATTAGACAGTTCCTAAGTATACCTTGTGCAATTATAAGGAAAACGGAGGAGATCGGGGAGTTCACCCTGTATGAAATATTTATTCGAGACCCCTCATTCAGAAAATACATGAAATCCTAGAGAACAAAAGCAAAATATGCATAAGAATACCCACCAGCACCAAAACCAATTCAAAGCATGACACCATTTCCCATAAAACAACACTTGCCTTGTGAGAATCGGGCGAAACAGAGAAATTAAGAGTTCTATTCCAAGTCTCAACAACATCAAGCGGAGGAGATGTATATAACCCATATAGTATCAGCCCCGGATTAGTATCATATAACTGTTCCACCTAGAGAAAACCAACCGAAATCTATCAAAATTACAACAAAATACCAAATCAAGTTCAAGACCCTCTCTTAAATCCATAACAAGAAGCATCCAAACCATTCGGCCCTCGGTGCAACTTCAATAACTACAAATAAAATCAAGAATTTACCTTTATAGACTGCACAAATATGGGAGTAGGTTGTAAAAGAACCGAGCATTTCGGTCCTAGGGTTAGCCTCATAGAACCATATACCCCCAAAATCATAGTCATCGACACTGTCAAAGAAACAATTAATTATCAGAAATTAAAAACAACAACCGCATTTAACACTAAAAACCTATAAAGTTTAATCTAATTTTTGACAATCAAAATTAGGGAAAAAAATAAACAGAAGTAATTCTAGAGAAACTTGAATTGCTAAATAAATACAAACCGAAGAACCAGAACGTGAGAACCACGACGACACAAGAACACGTGTCATCTCTAACAGAAGCTACATCATTAAACCCGAAATAATTCCCTCGATTAGAAATGCCAATGTATTCCTGCTGCTGCTGCTCTATCTCTGGCTGTCTAAATTCGAGTTGACGTAACCGTTGATCATGATCATGATCATATTCTTCGTGGACTGGAAAAGAAGTGTGATTTGAAGATGATGATGAAGCAGCAGCGGAATGATCCCTAGAAGAAACAGAAATTTGATTCGGCTGTGCCATTCTAAGAAGAAAAGAGGGAAAGAAAAGATGGTTAATTGGAGAAAAAATTGGAAACCCTAAGTTAACCCTAGAGGGAGAAATTGGAGCAAACCTTCGAGAATTTGAAGAGGGAAATCCATGAGAGTTGATGGTGATGGTGAGTTACTGGAACTGACTCACCAATCAGTCTTCCGTTTCTAAGAAAGACTGGTAGATGTGAATTCTGGCGGTTATATGGGGCTTTTTAATTTTGTGTTCTGTTGTTGTGTTTTTTTTCTTTTTCAAGGATGTGTTATGTGGACCAATCAGAAGGGTTTGGGATGTGAAGAGAGGGTGGTTACGTGGTGGGTGGATATTGGCTTACTTCTGTGCCGGTGTTTGAGGTGTACTGTTGGAGTCCACTGCTCAATCAGGAAGCTGAAAACCTTTTTTTTTTTTGGGTTAACTGCAATCAGGAAGCTGAAAACCTTTTTTTTTTGGGGTTAACGGAAAACAATGATCAATTAATGAAGCATTACTGAATCTTTATAGATATCGGGGGGCTTAAAAAGAAAGAAAAAAAGAAAAAAAAACATGAATAATTTATTGACAATTTTTACTTATAGTGCACTGCTACACGAGTTAAAAAATATGTTTAGGAGAAGAAAGTGTGTTAAAAAAAATTAATGATTTAGGTTATAGTCTCAATCAGTTTAATAATCATATTTTATTTTAATTACATGATGAAAAAATAAAATAAAAAATAAAAAATAACTACAACAACTTGGAAAAAAACTATTTTTCAAGAGAAAAATCAATATATTTTAATTTTCAACCAATTGAACATGAAATAATAAAATTAGATAAAAACAAAATAAAACCAGTATAAATCAACTCGAGTTAGCATGATAGATATGTAACTTAGATAATAATAGACGAGTCAATTCAGGTTAACTCACTATACTTACATCTCAAGATATGAGATCGAGATAACTCAATTAAAAAAAATATAAAAAATCACAAAAACAAACTTTAAAAAAAAATATCAAACAATGAAATTAAAAAAAACTAAAAAAAATATATCAACTCTTGTTAACTTTTCAAACATATGACCCAGGTCATTAAACTAAAAGGAGAAAAAAAATCAATCACACAAAAAATCTAAAATTAAAAAAATAGCAATCAAAAAAATAAGGATGATAATTGAAATAAAAGAATAAATTAGAGGGAATTACAAGTTTTTATTGAAGGGTTAAATTAAAAAGAAAAACAACTCCAACAAAAAGATAAAAATAAAATGAGTACCCAATTGGAAAAAATATTATACTATAAATTTTAATTAAATGTTAAAATTAAAAACCAATAAAACTTTTATAAAAGAACAAAAAAAAAACAAAAGAATAAAGATCAAATCGAAAAAAACTATATATGAAAAATTAATATTGAAGAATGAAATTAAAAACAAATAAATTTTTTTAAAAAAGCTCAAGAATAAGAATTAGAAATAAAATATAGGGATTAATGTTAAAATATTAAAAATAAAAAAAATTAATATGTAATTCTCATGGAAGAAGAGAGAGAGAAAAAAAAAACTCACCTACAATATACAACCCCATCACCTTCAACAACTATCACCCCAACATGAAAACAATGCATCATGAAAATAATACATTGTTGTTTACAATTAATGACAAGATAAAGAATCATTTTCTTCCACATAAAGGTAGCATTTATGCCACCTAAAGTATACAAACACTTCTTACATGTGGGCATATAATTAATATATACAAATAACTGAAGGGTTAAATTAAAAAGAAAAACAACTTCAAAAAAAAGATAAAAATAAAAAGAATGAGTACCCAATTGGAAAAAATATTATACTATAAATTTTAATTAAATGTTAAAATTAAAAACCAATAAAACTTTTACAAAAGAACAAAAAAAAACAAAAGAATAAAGATCAAATCGAAAAAAACTATATATGAAAAATTAATATTGAAAAATGAAATTAAAAACAAATAAAACTTTTAGATAAAGCTCAAGAATAAGAATTAGAAATAAAATATAGGGATTAATGTTAAAATATTAAAAATAAAAAAAATTAATCTGTAATTCTCATGGAAGAAGTGAGAGAGAGAAAAAAAGCTCACCTACAATATACCATTCCATCACCTTAAACAACTATCACCCCAACATGAAAATAATGCATTGTTGCTTACAATTAATGACAAGATAAAGAATCATTTTCTTCCATATAAAGGTGGCACAAATGCCACCTAAAATATGCAAACACCTCTTCTATGTCGGCATATAATTAATATATACAAATAATTTTTATCAGTTAATTAGTAATTAATTTATATAAAAAGATTAAATTATCTTCCATGAAATTAATAATAACAAAAAAATAAAGCAAACTCGTCATTTAATTATATTTAAAAAAAATAAAAAGATAAAAGTACCTCTCTCTATAAACTTTAAAGATTTGGACTTAGAGGATAGTTAGGTTATTATGCTAAAATAAATTAGAAAGATATTTATATTTTTAGTTAATATTTTAATGACTAATGGCCCTATAAAAATATCAAAATATTTTTAATGATAAGGTTATTGATTTTTTTAGAAAAAAAAATTATAATTACACTAGTGTGATAAATAGTAAATTATATATGTCCAATAACAATGTCATTAGTTTTAAATTTTATTATTATTATTTTTTAAATTATAACCGTTCGATCTCTCTTTTTATTTTCTCTCTACTCTCTCTCGTTATTTTCTCTTCTTTTTTTTTCTTTTTTCTCTCCCTTTTTTTTCTTCTTAGCCAAACTAGGTTGTGTGACACATATCATTATGTATTTTTGTTCACTATGCAAACACCATTTCGCACGCATGAATTCTTTATGCAGAGTTGCGCCCTCTTTCTATGCCAATGGCAACACTAGTCTCCTGGCACCCGAGGATTCTCTATGCAAGCACCAATGGGGAACTTTCTATGTTGAGTGTCCTCTATTTGCATGAGGAACTGATTTTTCAGAAACAACGAAGGTCAGTACCCCACCAGTCTAGGACATAACCAGGAAAAGCCCACTTTTTATTTGAAGTCTTTTCACGACTTCATTGGTTACCATATACTCCCTTAATACTATATTATTTTAGAAAAATAATCGTGGGCATACATGAAAATAGATAATTGCAAGAATTGAATTATTAAAACTAATAATTGTTAAAAATAATTGAATAAGTCATACTAATTTTCGATACTAAATTGTTAAATTTTTTTTAAAAATAGATAATTAAATAAAGTACTCAAATCCCATTTAGATAATAATAAAAAAATCATATTATCATATTCTTTATTTATTATTTATAAACTTTAAAAGTAATAGGTTAGTATTGTCCACAATTAACTAATTTATCTTTTGGACCCTGATGATTATGAATCTTGGACATTTGTTTTGCTTAATATATTTTTTTGAGTTTGTTTTATAAACAATAGGTATTTTAAAATATTTTATTGTTAATTTTTAAACTTAGTTTATTTATTAAAAAATATTTTTTTACTCTTAAAATATTTTACAAACAATAATATATTTATAATATCATCTAACAATCTTTACTATGGCCTCTTTATCTTTATCATTATCTCACCACCCTATCTATCATTGTCATCACCACCCATCACCATTCTACTAACACCATGACTAGTTAATTATTATTTTATTACCATTTATTTTTTGTATAATCATTTACCATTATTATTGAAAAGTATTTAGACACAAAAACAATCCATTTATTGAAAAATTAATTTTAACCTTTCTACTTTTCAAAGACATGAAAATAGCTTATACAATCTCAAATAAACTCTAATATAATAATTTAACTTGATCCATTAAAAAACTAATATTAATTAAATTTAGTTAATTTTTTATTTAATTTGATAAGATCAAAGTGAATCAGATAAAATTTAATTGTTTCATTAAGGTTGGATATAAGTGCAAGTAAAGGGTTCATCCATCCCAATATTTTTAGTTTATTTTTATTTTTTTAATATATAAATTTATTATGAATCCTATAATACCATCCTAATTGTCCAACATTCATTTTTT